CTACCGAGGGGTGGGGGCGGGATCCGGACGAGGAGAGAAGAGGGGAGAGGGCGACGGAAACAGCGTGGAGCACCGCGTGGCAACGGGAGAGGAACGAGGAAGGAAAAGAGGAGGAGGCGAATGTATGACGACGGGAAGGATATTGCGACTCGTCGGTCACGACCACGTGGGGTAAGTGGACGGGGACACCGAACGCGAATCCGTTTCTTTCCGCGGAGCTGCCCGGGTGGTGGTGTGGTTGCGGTGGCGCTTACGATCGTACGAGTTTCGGGGATGACGTTAGATCAACGGGGTACATTGGGTTCGTTGGTTGGACATTACCGTTGGTTGTCGGGACTTTTTGCTTGGAGATCGACGCGTTGCGATGCTCTCCTATAAATCCTGCCGGCGAGAGATTAAGTCCCGCCCGCGAAATAAGGGGCGAAAAGAGCCGCTATTCCCGCGAATCGAAACGGAAGAAAACAAACGAGGAGCCATAGATTACTGCCGGGAGAGGGCAATATGCGAGCCAACGGAAGGCTGTTCCCGAGGCCCTCGAATCATTCGTTGGCAGCGGTTTGCGGCCGGGTCCTCGGGCGGACTTAAATCGTACGCTTGGCACGTGGGCTAATTGGTCGTATCTCGCGTTAGCCGGCGTGCTTTATCACGTCATCCGTACACGGCTGAAAAGAATTCGCGTTCGCCCGTTCCAGCGGCCCGTTTAATGGCCGCGCGTCCTCCGATTTTTCACCTCGCTGCCACGTGGCGTCCGGCCACGTGCTGCTCCTTCGGCGTCTTTCTTCGCGCGAATATTTCCTCGACGAACCGACACCCGCAGCTACGATCCGCTCCCTGGGAACGAATACCGTGGACATCGCGGTGGCGAACGGTCGGGTTTCGTCGCGTCGGCGACACGGTTTTTAATTAACCGGAAAAACGGCTTTGCCGGTCGATCGATCGGCGCGCACGTGCGCCCCTGGAAATCGATTTTAACGCAAAACCAATCGACGACACCCTGGGCGAGAGAAGAGGATGGGGGGTATAACTTTATCCTCGCTTAATCGCCTTTTCGATAGGTACGAGCCGATCCCTTTGTTCAGACAATACCTCCACCCTGTCCTCGCTAATGTATGCAGCGTGCCGGCCCCTTCCCTCGGCCTCTAGCCGTTCCCCGCCCCACGGGTCCCTCGTTTCTCGCGCGCGATGACTCCGGGGGCTCCTGCGGCTCCGCCGTCGTCGCTACCCCGCACGAAAGCCGACCGAGGCGAGGGAGAGACCTCGTCGTACTCGTTCGCCTTTATTGAATTTTGGGACCGTTCCAGTTGGAACGGAGAGAGAGCTGGCCGAGGGAACGAGAGAGAACCGAAGGGACAGCCGCGCGACCTCGCGCGGAGAAAGGACAGAGCCCGCTCCGGTGGGTGGAGTGCCGGCCGGAATTAATTCTCATCCCGGTGCATGGCTTTTTACGATATAACTGTGGTTTGTTAGTCGTTATTCACGGCCCGAATTCAATTCCCTGTGCGCCCCGGGATAGAAATAGCGGCGTGCTCGCAGGGCTTTACTTTTTTCCCCGTCGACGACGACGCGAGTCGCGGGTACGACAACTCCGATCGAAAGACACGCGAATCCTCGATGAACTAGAAAACAAAGCACTTCTTCCTGGTCTAAACAAAGTCTGTGCACGATGAGAATAAGAAAAAAACTCTTACTGTTTACGATTCAGATAATAACGCGTTCGAATCGACGTTAACCGAGGTCAAACCGAGCCTCGTCGTACCCGCGTCCAATATACTCGCTGCGGTTCACCGCGAGACAGCTCCCGACCGCGTCGCGCATCCGGAAGCGCGTTATCTCTCCCGCGGGAAGATTAGAGCAGGCGTGGCCGTGTTACACAATGCCGCAAACTCGAGCTAGAAGCGGATAGAACGGGGAGTGCGCGGAGACGAAGGAAGCGTCAAGACGGGAAAGAAACAGAGCGACCCGGCGAAAGGAGAAAGGGGATGCCCGAGGACAGCCGGGTTGACAGGACACAATATTGCAATAACTTCAATTACGGCGACACGACGGATCGCAGTGGGGCGGGCGGATCCGTGCTCCGACACCCCGCGTCGGCCCCGTCCATTTGTGTAGGCGAGTGACACAGACGTCGCGGTCGAATTGGCTGTCGGATCCGAAATGGGGCTACCTTTAAACAAGTGCTTCTTAATAAACCATTGACGCGCGAAACCACCCTCGAAAATTTGCCCCTTGGCGGTCTCGCTCGGCCGACATCGCCGCCCTCCCTGCTGCCGTCGTTCCCGTCGTCGGGGGACGTCTAGTTCTCCGTTACTTCGTTAAACTCGAAAAGCCGGCCGGTTCTTCCGGCGAGAGCGGCCGCGAGCGTAACGAAGCGTTATTCCGTTTTTATTTCGGGGGAACGTTCTGGAGCCGAGCCAGACGCGAATAAACTTCGCGCCTCGTCCGCCCTGCCGCGGCTCCGGAACGGTGAAATACGCTGCCCGTCAGGCGATACGCCATTAATACCGGAAGATTACCCGCCGACGCGACCGTGCGCCCCGTTGGCGAGCCTTTCTGCTCTTCAACCCCTTCCGCGATCTCTTTCGCAGCCGGCGTCGTCGGAACATCTGTATCCTTCAACCGGAAACTTCGAACACTCTTGTTTAATATTAATCAAACGAGAGTAACGTTTCATTGCGATTTATCGAACCCGATTCGATACTCACCGCGGAACTTCTTTCTCGTTTCTCGCCACGGAAGCGAAACCGAGGATGACTTATCGACCGCTCGCGTTCGAACCGTGGAAAAATCGTACCGAGCCTTTTGCCCCGCGGCTAAGGGTATTCCGATGGGGTGGTCGCACGCACCCCTCTCCGGTCCGACGTCCCACTCGAAATTTCGCTCTGCTGGCGCTTTTTTCAACATTTATTTGACAGCTGTCGTCCGCAGTGCGTGAGCGTTTACCTATCGCGCTGCGTCCCCGTGCCACGAACCGCCGCGCACCCCCTAACGAGGGGCGGCTCGAGACAAATATCGGCCGTCTTCGGCCCGGGAGATTTACGGCCGTTCGCTGGTAATTGCTTTCGCGTCTTCCGCGGCGCTCCGGCTCGCGTGACCCGCGTTTGTTCTTCCCGGGAATCGGAAGCGAGACGGAGCACGCGGGAAAAAGGCCGACCCCTCCGACCGGCGATACGTCTCGCGTCTTCCGACTTTTATTTCCGTCAGCCTGGGACGCGTTCCTCTCGAGCCTCGCCACGCTCTCGTGTCCCGTCAATCGTACCGCGCGGCGATAAGGCTCGCCGGGGGTGATCGCGGAAGCGCGATTTGTAGGAAATTCGCGGCCCGTACAACTGTCACGTAACGGTCCGCGCCGATAGGCCCCGTCACGCGACCGAGGAAAGTATCAACGACATGGTTGGCTCTCGTTTAATTACCCGGCGAGGCGCGCGGGCTGCGTGGGCGTAATATCTCGGTCCCTCCGTAATCGGCGCTCGTGCCGCATCGCGAATGGCGTGGCGTACAGCCGCGCACCGACTCCGGCCCGGCACGCGAAAAATAACCGCGAAATAGCGCCGCGACACGACACTTTTCCACTTTCGTTATCCGCCGCATCGGAACCGCCGCTCTGATATCTTAATTCTCCTCGCGGGAACGATTAAACGCTCGCCGAGCTTTCTCACGGCCACGTGACCGGCCACGCTTCGATCCCCCGGAGCTTCCCGCCGATTCCCGCGCGAGACCGATTTTCCCCCGCAGCGAGACTCGTTGGCCGCGTTCCGAAACTCGATTTTGGCGATGGAGAAACCGGCGTCGACGCGGCCGGATTCCGCGACGCGAACGCTCCGCGCTTTTTCCCCACAATGGACTGCGTTGGAGAAGTGGGTGACAGTTTTACAGGAAGTCGGCTTTCTGGAATTGCTATCTGTAAATGTATATGGTCCTCGGAAACGAAGAGATTAATGTAATTTAGTAAACATCAAGAGTTAGGTATTTTAAGACTACCATTTCTCGCGAAAGAAATTGATTCTCTTCTACAGAATGCTTTGACAACCGTATCTAATATTTTGGCTTCGTTTAGTCTTAAAATGTTCGGCATACATTTCTGATTGAACTTTCGCTTGTACAAAAAGTATTGTTTATTATCTACTAGAACAATGACGCTTAACAAGTTGATGAGAATTTTCAGAATTCTTTACATTCAACAAGAAACTTTCACGTCCCAAAAGGTCCTGGAATCGATCAAATTCGACTGTACTCAGCATAGTTTTCTTCAGGAGATTATAGAAGAATCATTCAATGGTATCGAAATAATAATTGTTTAAAAAATACTATTAGAAACTTCATCGCGATACCTTGCGTGGACGAAGAATCACAACACAATGTCACCTATTTTGCCGATGCAGCCCACCGTGCGGCCCGGCCGCGAGGAAAAAAGAGAAAACGACACGAATACGTGTGCGCCGTTGGCGTGCCTCTGTGCGCGAGTGCCGGAGCCTGTGCGTGTGCCGCGTCGCACCGGGAACGCGGCGTCCGAGCCTGAGAACTTCGTCAATTAGAGGGAACAATTAGTCTCGGCGTGGCCGCGATCGAACGCGACTCCGAAGCCGGCGAACCCGCACGAACCGCGCGTCCAACGAGCAATAACGGGCCGATCGGCGGCTGGTCGCCACCGGTTTCGCGTCGCGGCGGCGGGTTTGATCGCGCGACGTTTCCCGCACCGCGTGTAACGTTTGCGCAAACGTTTTTTCGCCGGTCGTCCGGCATAAATCCCGGCGAGCGGAGAAATAATAACTTGCCCGCGCATAACGATCGAGCCCTGGATATACTAACGAGTGACGAAATCGCGGGGTCTCGATGCCGGGGATTTCTCGGTTCAATTAGGAACGGAAGTCGACGCCGGCCGCGCGCTTTCTTAATTTTCCATCGGAATCCGCGCCGCTTCTTCCCGGCGTTCTCCCGGCGCGGCCTCTCGAACGGTACTCCCCGTAATAAGCTTTCGTTTCGCCGGTCGATTTGCAATTCAATCTCGCCGGGTCGCGCGAACGACAGCCGGAGTCCCGCAGTTTCAGCGATCCTCGCGCGTCCGCCGCGGCTCGCTCGAATCCTCAATTACCGGGACACCGACGTCGCGTCTCGCCGATTTTTCTGACGCTACGCGGCGCGTCCGGTAAAAATCGAGGAGAATGTCGGCGCTC